TACAGAGAAACAAAGTTAAAATTTACAGTAGATATTTCCTCAGAAACTATGCAAGATGAAAGACAGTGGCCTAGAATTGTCAAAGTACTGAAACTGTCAACCAGCCTTCTAAATGCAGAAAAAAATCTGTCAAAAGAGAAGCCAAAATAAGTATTTTTTTCAGAAAAACAAAAGCTGACAGAATTCATTGCAAGCAGACCTAACTATAAGAAATGGAATATGTATTTTTTTTCTTATATTCAAGAGAAGAATGGATCTCACACTGAGATTGGTGAGGAGTTCTTCAAGCTATTTTCAAGATTTTTAAAAGCCCAAATAGAAGTGTACCTGATTGCCTAAAAAAGTTGCACAGGCTAACAAAATTTAAGAACTCTTTGGATTTGGTTTTCATTAAATCAATTCAGTGAAATATCACTGGTTATCTATCTAAGGCTGATCAGATATGCAGGTTAAGAGTAATATGTGATGGATGAATAAGCAAGGGAAACAACTTCAGTAAGTTCAGAGTTTTTTTGATAAACAAGCAGAGGATATAATGAGGAAAACAAAACAAAGGAGGTATTAAATGAAGAAAAGTTTAAGTACTACTTTCCATGAAATTATATTCCTTAGGAAAAAAGAAAATTGACCTGTGTTGTAAACTTGCCCCAGGGTTAGAGGAGAAAGCTAGGCCCTGGGGAAACCAGTCCTGTAGAGATCAGGGCTGGACAAACTGACAAGTTGGTAGAGACAGATCCAAGGAGGATGGCCAGCAGCCCAATGCCAGTGTCCAGTGGGGTGAATCTACCTCAAGCTTGACTCTGGCAAGCATCCATACTACAGCAGTTCTGTGACAGTTCTGTGATAGACTTCAGGACACCAAGCAGAAGAACTGGTATATGCAATGATGGCAGTTAGGATGAGGGACAGCATGCCAACCATTCAGTTTTCCAGGGGTAAGACCCACTTCTGGGCAGTGTCAGGACTCCAGTCAAATGACCTGGTGGTCACAACTGGCCTCAACTCCCCATGGAAACTCAAGAGAAACCAACAGTGGAAACCCAGGCAAATGGAATAAAGCAACACCATCCAGTGAGAGACAGGATGGCTGCTCCGGCTCCTGAATGTCAAGGACAACAATTCTTCTGTTATCACCAAGGTAACATGTGGAGAGGACTTAGCATCTGCCCCATGGCTAAGAGTGTCTAGGGAAGAACAGAAATCGATACAAATCTCAAGTTTATCTTTTCCTGATTTCCACAGCAGTATCTCAGGTCCTTAGTTAAGTAAACCTAAAATATCATAAAGTCTACAAATAAAATGTTATAAATTGTTCCCTCCAAGAATAAACCAGAAGACAAAGCATAAAAGCCTTCAAGTGATTCTTAACAAATAACACTTTTTGTTGTCCAATAAATATTGCACATTATGTTCAGTAAATATTTCCATTTCTAAATAAACTTTAAGTGTGTACTTTATCATCAAACTACTCAGAATAAAATAATGTAGAAAGAAAAAGCCACTCTTCAGTTGAATTTTAAATATATTACTTCTATTGTCAACTTTGGTCTCTCAGAGCAAAATCTAAAAATGAATTAATTTTAGTGGTTAGTAAAATTTTTTATTAAAAAAACAATTACATGTATGATTTCAATGATCTCTACATTTTAAAATTATTTGTATTACAAGACAGGGAGCCAATATGATAAGGAATTTTTTTTGCATCAACATAATCTATCAATATACAGTAAATATCCTTTGAGAGCCTCTGAGGACCATGCACATGTCCAGGATCATCCTATCTCTGTATTACTCAGCCACTCAGTGCAGTCAGAACGATAAGCAAATAGTTCTCTGCAGAACTATTAACTGCCTGCTGTATTAAGCCAAGCCAAAGGAAAAAGGAATGGAATAATGAAACACTGAACAGATTGTATTATTTTCTTCTGCGATGGAGTTTATTTTCAACTTTATGTGCAATTTAATTAAATAAAAGGGTTGTTCTTATAAGAGAGCAATGGTAAATTTCAGAAAGAAAGATTTGTCCTTCACCCACCTGATCTATAGTACTATATATCTATCATAATCAGTCTATATCCTATAGTGATTTTTTAAATTACCAGCTTGCAGGGTGACTATGGTTATAATCGCATAATTATTGCAAAAATATTTTTCCTAAGAATTCTTGAATGTTAAAAGAATGATGTTCTAGAGTTTTATTGAAGTGTTTTACGCTGCACGAATCACTTTGTATTGAATGAACTTCAAGAATGGGAACATGATTGACTTTGTCCCATGTCCCATTTCCCACACACCAGGGTCCTGATGCTTTCTGCAGACCTAAGCGCATACCATATGTTCCATCAGCATAGACCAGGTTACCCCGTGGAAGCTTAGAAGTCTTCCAGGGAAGCATTTACTGGGTTCAACCTTAATTAACTAATTACCCTGGAGGAGGAGGGGCCCCTGGGCATGCAATTTAACTTTAACCTTGTTATATGAAACCTTAGTATTTGAAATGTTTCACAGATATCAAAAAATAAACTTGACACAAAAACACTGTACAAATACAAATTTGATATTGTGAAATCTTTCATAAATAGAAATCAGATGGCAATGTTCATATCGTGCTTTTCAGGCTGGCTAAACAGCCAGTTTATCACTGTGTACTCCACTGTGTGAAGCACGTGTGCTGTTCCCACCGAATGACACAGATTTCAAAAAATAAGTATGATTAATTAGATAAGCTAAATGACTGATGTAGAAAGTTCCTGCAGCAAGCTCCCTGTTTGGTCATTTAAACATGGTCAGTATTATAAAACCTTTCAAAGAGCATTTTTAAGAAGTCTGGCTACCTCAGTATAATAACATATTTAAAAGAGAGAAGTAGAAAAATTAAAACCAGTGTGCCTAATACATCGGGTTAAGCTACAGTGAGGAACATGCCACATGGGAAGGGTGACATTTATAATAAAAAACAAGGAGCATTTATAGTAATAAGGTTATTAGGAATAGCAAAAGTGTATTGACAGTAATAATGGTGAACTAAAAAAATATATTTCACTTTAAAATTAAGTCGATTAAAGATAAAAGCACCAGCTTATGTCATATCCTATTCTGACCCATCCAGTTTTACTTATTGTTACATATTAACTTCAGAATCTCTCCAGCTGACCAAACGGACTGTTAAGCTTTGGCAACACCAACACTCTGAGAAAATCCTATTGAAATGACACGTTCTCAGAGTCCCTGTCTGCTTTTGTCTCTCGAGTTCCTGGTGCACTTTCTGTGGGTGAGAACAAGGAGTATTTCTGCCCCTCATGGCTTTGATTTGGGAAGCTCACTCTCGAGCTGTAAATTGAGACCAGTGGGTTTCTAATCTGCAATTCCAGGATTTAGTTATGCTCTTGGGCTCGCTGTGGGGACTGGGTCGGCACCCCCTACTGCTGTGATCTTGGTCCCAGTGGGTGACCCTGTTCTGCAACCCTCCTGACCACCGCCTCAGAGCCTCAGACCACAGACCTCTGCCATGGGACCTGATTTCCTGGCATCTGACAGAACCTTCTGGAACAGGACACTACCTGGGCTGCAGGCTCACTAAGTCCAAGGTTTGGACTAGAGCCCCTCACCCAGAATGGCTGCTTTTCCCATCCAGGTCAGTAGGCAGCATTGCATACTCAGCCCAAGGGGCTGATTTTTTGTTTTGCTTTTTGTTTTTTTTAGTGGGGAGGAAAAATACTTCCCAAGACCTGGATTCTAAAAACCTTACTTCCAGTACCTAGGCACTGGTCAGTCATGCACCAAATTTCCACCCAAATGTCTTTACTGCCTTGGGAAATTCCACCAGTTTCCAGTTGTCTATACTTTGTAACTTTCTGCAAAGTGGAAATGGTTTTAGAGAATGCTTTTCCTCAACTCCTGGGGACTGACTACCACCAGTGTAACTAACCCCCAGCCCCTCTCTACCTGCTTCTTACCCCTCTCCTCTGCTGGGTATGGGCAGTGAGCCACTTACGTGGTTGGCTGGCCTGGGAAGCCTATTCCTTTCCCCACCCCCATTTACAGCAAGGATGACACAGGGAGCATGATTCTGTGTGGCTCCCTCATGCCCCATGTGTTAGGGTGGCAGATTCTGCCCCCTGTGGGAGAAGAAGGAAGAACATGGGACACATCGCAATGACAAGAGTACAGGAAATCAAAGCATGCAAGTGGAGAGACACTTCTAACCAAGGGCTCTACAATGACTACACATGTCACCAACTGGCTTGTAAGCTTTGACTAGCTACACTGAAAATTCACAGTGCCTACAGGATAGATGAATTTGTTTGGGAGAAAAACAACTATTCCCATAGCTAAAACACAAGAAAGTTCCCCATAGGATCATTATAAAGGGAGACCCTATATAACGCAGCGAACAGCACCTTGGCCATGTCTGCACAGTGAGCCAATGTTGAGTTGAACATCACAGAGCTACTTCTTAAAGTGCCCTTTTATTAGAGTAGTAGTACCACCATAGGTCCAAAGGGGGGAAGGTGGATGTGGAGAGTAACAGCATGTAATTCACTCTTGCATGTCTCTGATAGTAAGAGTTAGTCCAGTTGTTGATTTACAATATTATGAGCAAATAGACTGGAAGGACCTGAACATCCTTCTGGGGATCTTTAGTAACTTCTGATTGATGGTGGGCAGTAATGGGTTAGAGATTATACACCTAGAAAGGGCTTGGAATGAGGCTTCTCTATCTTGCTAATTTAATAGAGCCCCACTAAGGTTGGATGACTAAGCTGGTGATAATGGGGACATCCTCTTGGGCAAGTGAAGGGACCCAGCAAGGACACAGGGACAGAGGACAGCAGGCAGAGCCCCTGTGCACAGGTGTCCAGGGGGAGAGGGGAAACGGGTCTATGAGCTGGTGGGCCTTGCTGATGTTGGCCATGAGGGCCACTGCCTTTGCAACAGTGCTAACAGAGCAGCAGCTCCTGTGCAGAAAAAGGTGTCATAGGGGTGGGCTTAATTCTTACCACAGAGCCCTCTTCCTTTGAAGGCTGCTTTGGAGTCTTCACTTTTTTGGTCTTAGCAGGCAGTAAACTGATGGAGGGAGAATATGGCTTCAAAATGGCTGCACTCTGGGGTGGAATCCTTGGCTGTGAGAGCCACGGGGACAAGGCCACTTCTTTCACTTTCTCTAGTCTCGGGCTCTGGAGTGCAGGAAGAACCAGCTTTTTTTTTTAATTTTAATTTTAATTATATATATATATATTCTTTTTTTCAGGGAGGGGTGGGTAGGTGGAAGAGGTGAAGGGGATAAAGAGGCACAAAATCTCAATCATAATATAAATTAGTCACAGGATGAAAGTATAGCAAGAGAATATAGTCAATAAGCTATAACCAGTCTTTCTATGTTGACAGACAGTAACTATGCTAGTTGGGGTGAGCTTTTGATAATGTAGATCAAATGTCAAATCACTATGTTGTGTACTTGAAACCAATATAGTATTGTATATCAATTATATTTCAATAAAAAATGCTGTGAGTAATGCTGTATAGCTTAGTTTCATAATCTTAGTAACATTAGGGCCCAGAAGTTACCCTTATCAGGCTTAGGCAAGAGAAAGCAGTCATCATCAAAGAGGAATTCATCAGTGGAGGAACTGTCATGCACCAGAACTATCCATCATCTGATTCTATTCCCCTGTAGTTAATTTATTTTGTTATTGTGAGAGAAATTTTTATTCAAAACTTGTAAGAAGGCAGTGTGACCCCTTCTTACATGGTTAGAAGGTCCTAGAAAATGTTTCAATTTAGCAGATCTTACTTTTTCTAATAGTTTTATAATAAGCATATATGTGTTACATAATACATTACAACAATAAGTGTTTTAAAACAAATCGTTGGCTAATATGTAGCAGGGTACAGTAACTTTGAGTTGCCATGTGTTCTAGTTAAATCAACACTGTTATGAGTCTAGGAGGTCAGCTCAAACCAAAAGTGGCCACGGGTGAGTCCCTCCCAAACTGAAAACCTCAAAGGGAATTGGGCTAGAGGGTAAGTTGCAGGTTCAAGTCACTATAGGGTGGATCTTCTTTTTTTTTTTAATTTTTAATTTTTATTTTGGTATCATTAATCTACAATTACATGAAGAACATTATGTTTACTAGGCTCCCCCTTTGACCAAGTCCCCCCCACATATCCCTTCACAGTTGCTGTCCATCTGCGTAGTAAGATGCTGTAAAATCACTACTTGTCTGCTCTGTGTTGCACAGCCCTCCCCGTGCCCCCCACGTACTATACATGCTAATCATAATGCCCTCTTTCTTTTTCCCCGCCCTTATCCCTCTCTTCCCACCCATCCTCCCCAGTCCCTTTCCCATTGGTAACTATTAGTCCATTCTTGGGTTCTGTGATTCTGCTGCTGTTTTGTTCCTTCAGTTTTCCTTTGTTCTTATACTCCACATATGAGTGAAATCATTTGGTACTTGTCTTTCTCTGCCTGGCTGATTTCACTGAGTATAACAGCCTCTAGCTCCATCCTTGTTGTTGTGAATTGTAGGATCTGTTTTTTTCTTATGGCTGAGTAATATTCCATTGTGTATATGTACCATATTTTCTTTATCCATTCATCTACTGATGGACATTTAGGTTGCTTCCATATCTTGGCTATTGTAAATAGTGCAGTGATAAACATGGGGGTGCATCTGTCTTTTTCAAACTGGAGTGCTGCATTCTTAGGGTAAATTCCTAGGAGTGGAATTCCTGGGTCAAATGGTATTTCTATTTTGAGTATTCTGAGGAACCTCCATACTGCATTCCACAATGGTTGAACTAATTTACATTCCCACCAGCAGTGAAGGAGGGTTCCCCTTTCTCCACAACCTCGCCAACATTTGTTGTTGTTTGTCTTTTC